TTATGAAGGGGTACTGAAAAGTTCATAGCCTGACCCATTTCTAAAAATCACCATTTCAATTATTAATTGAAATGGGTAGGGCTAATAACTTTTCAACACACTCTTGTATTAATGGTACACCTTTTGATTAAAATAAATAATATACCTCATTAATCATGCATGTATTGTTCAAATTATCAGGTAGATGGTGTTTATTAGCCTTAAGTTCAGTCCATCTAAGAAAAGAAAAACTTTGATTTTAAATACCACTACCTTGTAGCCATACATGAGAAAGGCCTCATGACAAAATCTTGACGATAAATCCGGAAACCAGAGTTCCAAAGTCAACAAGACATTGCAAACAATCTCATTCTGGCAATTTTTGCATCAGTACCAATGTCAACCAGTATTGGCTCTTCCCCTTTTCTTGGACACATTTATGGTGTGTTGAGGGGAGATGGACTACATAGACAACTATCCATCTCTTATAAAAATCCTACCTAGGAGAGAGCTCTTTGGTGTCACCTCACCTGCACTCAGTTGGTGAGACAAATATTGCACTACCACCGCTAGCGGAGTTATAGAAAACAAAGACAAAAAAATCTCTTTAGATTCAGATCTATAGTCTTTCAAGACCAAGAGATGCCATACACATTGTGTAGTATATTGTGTGGAAATATTTTCAGTTCATAAATCATTTAAAATATTGTCCTTATTTTTGTTGCCTTGATTACTTTAATAAAAAATTTATGATCAAAACAACAAAGCCGAAGTTACTAGTTGAACTTGATATTTTAGTTAATTCCATCTTAGAGAAAAGACAGGATTACCTGCCATTGATGCAGCTGGACTATGGTGGAAAAGATGGACAAAAGGTGTTGAATTGATTCCAACTATGGATTTAGAGTGGAATAACTCCTCACATAATTAAACACATATGTTCACATATCTTAGTGTAAGAGTGATCTTTAAAAACTGAATTCAAAAATGGATGACCAGAAAAAAGCAATAACATTTCAATGTTTGTTGTTTGGCTTTTATTGAATTTTCATTCTAAATCTAAATAAGTTATGATAAAAGATTTCATGCATACTTTTTTTTCTGCTTGGCATGAATAGAATTCTTACAATTACATCTTGCATTTACATTCAGAGAAGCCTTTTAGAAGAAAAGCAATGAAAATTTATGGGAAGAAACAAACCAAAAACTTAACCCAGAATCATGTTTATGCAAAAGACTTAAAATTGCTGTTATATTTATTTAATCTTTAGTTAAAACTGAATATACATATATACAAGGTCTGATTTAAAAAAAAAAAAAAAAGAAAAAAAAGAAAGTATCTGGACTGTTGCTATGGTAACAAAGCAAAGCCACTTGGCACAGATTGACCTTGAACTTTGTTGTGCATGCACACTAATAAGATTCTTGCTCATTTTATATTTTGAAATAATTTCAAACTTTGCATTTAACATTTATCCATTGTGATGATGCCATAAATGAAGTGAGGGCTAAATGTAGTTTAAAATCTATGTTCTTAGACTGTAAAAATTTTCACTTGTATACAGCAAATAGTTGTAAACAATATGCGTATTCCAAAGAGCATTAACTGTAAAAAAGAAAAAGAAAGGTTTCCAATTCTTGAAGCCCTTACGATAAAATCAAGAAACTGAAAAGTAAATAAAATAGGAAAGAATCTTTCTTCTATGTCTGCCTGCTTTGATGTCACAGATCAAGGCTCATTGTATGCTTAGCCTTGTGTATTTTTCTATTATGTTTGTTGGCACTCAAAACCCTCCTACAAATTTGCACTGAGCCAACATACCCTATCAGAATTAAAGTAATACATTTTGGCAATCATGGCAACAGTGTCAATCAGAGCAAAAATTACATCCAAGATTACTTTTAGGGGCTAGGACCACTACACTTTTCTTTGCTTTATGATATTCCAGATTACAAATAACTGCACAGGAATGCTTTATTTTTATTTTTTATATTTTTGTTCCCTGCTTAGGATTGGGTTTCTGGTTCTTCCTAAAGTCTTTTCCTTCTCTTTCACTTCTAGTCACCCCTTGCATCTTAGTGGCATTATTACCTTCCTTGGGGTGAATTAATTAAAAATAAAAATTGTTCTTATTTGGTCAGATTTTGGGAAGTAGGTTATGAGAAATTTATGAACTAACAAAAAAAGAAAATATAAACAAAACAAATAATAAATTACAAAAAAGAAAAAACAAAACAAATAAATAACAAAAGACAAATAATACAAATGAACTCATACCTGCGAAGATTTAGTAATTAAATAAATTTAATAATAATATATATTATTAAACAAAAAGTGACTTAAATATGAATCCTAAACTTATAACTCATCACCAAATGACTTGAATATAAATCCTAAACTTATGAATCATCTTTACTGACCTAGATTATAAATAAATACAAACCTATGCAAAACTTGTCATGAAAATGTTGGAAGTAACCATTTTCTTACCAATAATTAATCCAATTTATTAGAATAATACAGTAAAGTAAAAATAATAAACTTTCTTACCTATAATCGTCCAGTAAAAAATATATATAAATAGTCAAACTATTCTTTTACACAAATGGCCTGAAACAGATTGTTACAAATCTGTGTTGATACCTATATCCACACTGCTTATGTTTACATGTGCATTATCCCTGATATTGAGTACTTTTCTCTTATAAATATAACATATATTAAAAATTATAAAATATATATATATATATATATATATATATATATATATATATATATATATATATATATATGTGTGTGTGTGTGTGTGTGTTCAGAGAGAGATAAGGAAAGATGGAGTTGTGCCTTTCTTAAGGGCATTAGTGCAACATGAAAGCAATAGATTCAGCTAAAATTTGAATTTCTCTTTCTTATTTTGTTCTATTTTTTACAAAGAAAATTGTTGCTACCAACACATCTGTGTGTATGTATGTGTGTGTGTGTGTATATCTGATTTTTATGTGAAAAAACAACACTATATTCTTTATTGTTTCTTTTAGAATCTGCCAACTTCTTGGTTGCTTACTCCTTTAAGTGCTGATCCCAAAGCAAAATGTTTTTTTTGACTTTTATAATATCATGACAACTGACATTTCTATTGTTATAGCTGTCAACCATCTTTTAAAATGAAAATGTCAATGAAAGTCAATATAAAAGACTTCAAACTAATAAAATGTTAAAAAATATATCAACACTCTAACTGCAATATGTGAAAATAATAAATCATACAAAATATTAGTTAAAAGTATTCTAGCCGTGTGATGATATTTGTTTGGTATTTGTTTGAATTCCCTGTAGATTAGTGGAGACAAGTTTTTGAATATATGGAAGCCAGATATGCTTATTATTTAGACAAGGTTTATCCTTATAACTTAAAGATTTTTCTCAATTCTCATCTTTGGAGTTATTATGTATCTGTAAGATCATACATTGTTTGATGGTTGTCACTTGATCCCAAATGACAAGTCTCTTCAGAATGTATATTCCTCATAATATTTGCTGCAGTAATCTCAATAATTTTTTCTTCAATTCTCAATTTCTCTAATATTGCTTTTGGTGTCTGGGAGAGCTACATCCATCTTCTGAAAGGATATCTTTTCCTTGAACATAGCAATCAGATCTTTCTTTTTACTTTGAAGGGATAATCTGTCTGGGTTAAAAAAAAACAAAAAAACTCTGAGTATTTTTTTTTTTTTAATTTTGACAGTTTTTGGTTTATGCTCATAAAATTTGTTTATTATTTGTTTTTAATGAGTTTTTACACCATTAATCACTGACAGTTGTCTCGTGAGTATTCTAGCTAATTTAGTAGTGCTGTCATTTGGATAGCTAATTTTTCTTTGGCTTCCCAATTCTTTCAACCTTTTTGCAATGGCACACTGAGAATATTCTACATACACCAATAATGATAAATACAGTTGTTACTTTAATTTCTCACAGTTTTTCAATTCTATATCAAGGTCTATGGTTATTAGTACAGAAAGTGCAAGCAGTCTACTGAGTTAAAATTCCAGCTTAGTCTTTCGTATTCACTTTTTGTTAATGTCCTTGAAAAAGGCATGAATCCATCTTCCTACAGCTATAGGTTAAATAGCAAGTCAGATTGTGCTCTTGGGTGGCAACCAGTCTAGGAGAAAGAAAACTCTGAATTCAAAACCAGCTTGAAGCAGGATGATCTCCATCAGGTTCTCTTGGTCAAGACACATTGCTGCAGTACGCACATGGTGCAACTAAGACCCTAATCAGTTTCAAGACATGTGATGTGACATGAGGAAGGTCTAGGTAATTTTTGCAAGTTTCCCTTTTAATTTTATTCTATGGTCAACTGAAACGGTGACATTCACTTCTGCTAAATTTCCTTCTCTTCAATTTAATCTGTTCTTCTGGCCTGGATTGGCCAATAAGCTTAAATTTCAAAGTCTCAAAGAATTTTGGTTTTTAATTCTTTAAGATAGCCCCTTTTTTGTGCATAGACCATTGATTAGCATGGTAAATATATATATATATATATATATATATATATATATATAGAGAGAGAGAGAGAGAGAGAGAGAGAGTTGACCACCGCCACCTGAAGAAGCATAAACAATGCTGAAACATGATTGCATTTATGTAATGGTTTATAACATGTTTTTGTTATAATTGTTAATAAATATTATTATTATATATTTATTTTATCAATTCATCTCAAGCAAGGTGATGTTGCCACTAAAATACAAAGGGCTACTGTGAGTGAAAGAGAATGAAATAGACCTTAGAAAAAAAACAGAACCCCAATCCTTAACAGAAGACAAGAGATAAACCTCTACTCCTGTTCAAATGACTAAGGAGGATTGTGAACCAGACAATAGATGAACCTATCTACTCCTATTGAGGAAAAATAAATAAATAAATAATTAAATAAATAGCAAATATAATCTCAGAGTTTAGCTGGAAAATTCCACAGTCCATGGATGAGTGATATATATAAGTTTTAGCTTTTGGCCACATTGTGTTGAAACACCACTTTACATATGATTACTGAAGTTAAGCAACTTTGAGCCTGGTCAGTACCTAGATAAGTAACCACTTGGGAATGCTAGGTGCTGTAAGCTTGGATGTAAGGGTGGTGTAATGGACAATGGCTCCGAATTGTTAATCAGAGAGCTGAGTTCCAATTTGCATCATCAATTAAATTGTAATTACAAATTAAGATAATGCTAAAATAAAAAAAAAAATGTTCTAGAAGTATCAGTTGAACATTATTATTAGTTTTTCCTTGCCAAATTGTTGCATACTCCCTCCCTTCTGGGGAAGTCTTGGCCACTGCACCAAATAAGCAAAATGTTGTATAGCCTCCTTATTCTGGGGCTCTCTTGGTTGATGGTCTTGAAGTGATCATAATAAAGTTGTCTTCCTCTCTTTCTTCTCTCGGCTGGGTGACCACTAGTTGGTTTGTTCGGAGGTAAAATGACAACTTCAACAGAAGGGATTTTAAACTTATCTGTTTTATTAACTTATCAACATGTACATTTTTAACTAGCCAGTAGGGTTGCTATTCCACCCCATTGGGGAGCAGTTTCCATACACGAAAATAACATGTCTGCATTCTTTGACATGTAAAACTTAACTCTTCAAAATTGCTTTCTATCTTGCTAACATTCCCACACTAATTTAAACCAATCAAAAACAATTTCCTTTGTTTTCCAATATGTAACCTTAAATGTATAAATGAGGAAGTCAGAGGAAAATACAATTCTTTAAAAAATAATAATCTGCTAGACTATTAATTAAGAACGTGTGTGTGTGTTATATACAAAGAAATATAATAAATACATACATGTTGCATTTTATGCATAGGGTTTATTATTATTACACTTTTCATAATGAATGCAGTTAGCATTAAAAATAAATGCATTTGCTTAGTCATTGGAATGTTGTTGGATGTGAATTACAACAGCTGATAAAGACGCTCATGTAGATCTTCAAACATTTTAAAGCTCAATATCACTTATGAAAAATGCTGTTAAATCAAATGTATTTCATTTTATTTTAATATATTCCAAAATAAAGAACTATACACACATTTTTAGGTATGATATTTTAGCTAGGAACAGCTGGAGAATTTTATATTTCTATTTTATTAAATGATTTGAAAAGTGTTCAATATTTTTTATGATTGGTTTTGTTCTCCAAACTAAGTATCTTAAATAGTTTTATTAAACACTCATTGATTTGCTAATATTTTCTGCTTCATAGTATTTCGAATATGTTATCCTTCCAGATCATTTGAGAAGTTACATATTTTTCTTTGACATATTCACCATTGTCTATTTTAAGTAAATCATTTTTTTTGTATTTTTCCCCTAATTAGCTGTTGTTAATAATCTTCATTTATCTTTTGATGAATTGTAAATTCACAATTTCTAGTTTAGTGTTCTAACCACTAAGCTACACTAGAAAACTATATTTTAAGGAAACTATAGACAAAAAAACTGAAATCTATAATATTTTTTGCATAATCCAAAGTTTCTGACTTTGCCAACAAAAGAATTCTTTTTTGCTTGTTTCAGTTGACTTTTTACAAATTGAATCAATCCCATTTATAGAGATTATTTCCAGGCAAGTTTAGATTTTTTTAAAAATGGTTTAAGGCTGACATTTCTGAAGTATTTTTTACTGTTATTTTGCCCTGAAAGAAAAAGGGTGTATAACATGAAAACATGTTTATGATCCTTTTTAAAATGCAAAGATAAAAAAAAATAATAGTAAAAAGGGTGAAAAAAAATTAAAACTTTTAAAGGTTATTGAATTAAGGATTAAAAAAGGAGGAAGTATATCTGCTATATTTGGCATTTCAAATTTAATGAAAAAAGTTGGTAATATTTCATCTTTTGAGGATTGAGAGATCATGATTTTTAAAAATCCAAACTTGTAACTTTTGGGCAAAGATAAAATCTGAAATAAATCCTATAAAATTATTTTTGCAATGTTCAAATGTTGTCATGTTGAAAACAGATACTTTTACATTTCTTTTTTTTTAACCAATAATCTCTGTGCTTTGATATTTATTTGAAGCCTATGGACTTATTAATCCAGCCATGTATATTTATTCACTTTGTATCATTCTATCTCACTGACTTAATCTTTATTTCTCTCTCTTTCTCTCTCTCTCTCTCTCTATATATATATATATATATATATATATATATATATAAAAGTAATGGATTTTTATTTACCCAACAGATTTTATATCACTTTAAGCATTATTTTTAGTGAAAAACTCATATTTGAGTAGACGCTCTGTTTATTTATTAAACAGTATATTTATTTTTGTCAACCAGATCATGTCACTGCCAGAGAGCACAAATTTTTCTTTAATAAGATTTCTCAAACATTCAGGGTGGTAGACAAAAATAAATATACTCTTAAATAATTAAATGAAGTGTCTACTCAAATAGTTGGGTTGGAAAAATTACATTTAAAGTGACAAAAATGTGTGAGTGTAATCTGTAATATTTTTTTCCTCACGGTATTTAATAAAAAATGTATATTTATTAATATATACTTAATAGCTCTGCTATATTGCATCAAGCACTATTTTATTATTAACACCAGCATTCAATGTGCAATATCATATATTCATTTATATATATTGTGTATTTAGCCAACAATCCCTCATTTATACATGTTTCATTAAAGACAACTGACAAGGTACTGCAATGAAGCTTTTTATCTAATTTTTCTTGTATTCAAACAAGTGTTTTCTTTTCTGGACACAGAGTGTGTAGAAATTGTCCAAATGTTCTGTAATTCTGAGCACTTTTGGCTATACTTTAGCCATTATCAAAGATGATTTTATTTTTAGTTTTAACTGGATGTATGGGTTGTGTGTATGTTTCTAGAGTTATAGGGATGTTTTATTTTTCAAACACAGTTTGCACATTGTGGCCATGTTCATAGTTAATATGTAGACAGTTTTTGTGTCCAGAAAAGAAAACACTTGTTCAAACACAGAAAAATTAAATAAAAAGCTTAATCACAGTACCTTGTCTGTCATTTTTAATGAAACATGTATTTATATATATAGTAAACAACACTGATAGTGAACACATAGTCAAAAATAACATAAATATCTTCTACAAAAACCAAATGCACATCAACTACAAAACAAGATATTCTTCACTTAGAAATATTATAAAGAAATACACTAGCACAATTGACCCAAATAAAAAAATATAAAAAAATAAAATTAATTATCTACTATAAAAAAATTAAGATAGCTAACCTTATCCTAAAATTAACAATACACCAGGAAAATCAAAATTACAACAAACAAACATTATCTATGAGTTCAAATGCCCCTAAGGAACTGTGTTTTTGCAAAACTAATTTTTTACTTAATTACATTTTGACACATTTATATACCTATCCAGACACCTTACGTTACATCTGTCTGACCACAGCTGTTAGAATCCATTTAAACTCACATACAAACTTATCAGACTCCATCCGGAACATACTAGTAGAAAATGCAAACATAAAAACCTCATCTGCATATAAAAAAATATTAAAAATATTGGAAGCCTTAATAATAAAAAAAAGGAAATGCCAACACTTAATAATATTAACTACGAACAAGGCCACAATGAACTAACTGTATTCAGAATATAAAACATCTCTATAACACTAAAAACATACCCACAACATACACACCCAATTAAACTGAAAAAATAAAATAAGCTTCTATACACTCTGTTTTCAAAAAAAGAAAACACTTTTTTGAACACAAGGAAAATTAAATAAAAAGCTTCATCGTAGTACGTTGTCCGTCATTTTTAATGAAACATGCATAAATGAAGGATTGCAGCTTAAATACACAATATATATATATGTGTGTGTGTGTGTGTATATATATATATATATATATATATATATACTTGATTGAAAAGTGTATACAACTTTTATTCTTGTCAGCTTGTTTTCTTTTGTAGGACTCTTGATCTCTAGGCCAGCAGACATTAATTTCACTATTAAAAAATGAAAAAAACAGGGCTGTCTCCTTAAATATCCACTAAATATAATATTTATAATAAGAATAAATATATGATGAAATATGATGTTAAGGTGTGCTATATCTATGGGTAAATTTATATTTATATTTTTGGGTATGTTTATGGTATATCTCTGATAGAGCTTATGCAAATATAAAAGTGGACATTGAGGTCAACACTGAGTAGCAACAGACTGTTTTATGAAATAGAATATTGACACTTAGTGTTGATCTCAGTATCCACTCTAATGTACACATATACACACTAGCATCCTGGGTAGTAAGACGATAAACTACATCCAGCAGCAAGGCCTCTGATCAGATGATTTTGAGGAGTGTGGAACTACCTCTTAATTGTTGGTGTTCCCAGGTTTTTCCCTGACCATATGACATTTAGTACCTTTAAGGATGTAATTTATGGGCAAATAGTTAACTATTACCAGCAATACTTTTTTGAAAAAAATTATTACCAGCAATACAATTTTGAAGGAAAAATATTTCCAGAAACAGATTTTTGACGAAACAAAATATTACCAGCAATAAAAAATGTTGTCAGCATTAAATAACCCATTGAAGTTGATATGCTGTAAAACAAAATAAACCAAACCAAACATATACACACTAAGCAGAGGTGAAATTTAAAAAGTCACAAATGCTAGACACTCAGTGAGAACTGACATCACTACAGTAGTAATGACTACTTTCCTGTGAGATTATCTATTGGTTTGTGTATGAGTGTGTATTCTAATTTAAACAAAATACTAAATATTTTTAAAAATTTTAAAGTAAATAAATAAAATAAGGTAAGTAAAACAATTCAACTTATCCATTTATAAAATTATTTTAAAAAAAATGCATGTTAAATCATAATTTTACTTTAATGAAACTATACCTTCAATAATGATAATAAAAAATGAAAACTAAATTTAACAGTCATTTTAAGTAATACACACACACACACACACAAAAAGACATATACCAATAGTAAACTCTTATTTATTATTTGCAGAATTATTTTTTCCTAGACAAACTTAAAAGTCTTAACCTTTCCAAGACTAGG